TTCTAAATCAAAAATACACACTCATCCTATCTTCCTTTCGCACTTAACCTGGGTGCCATGTGAGCCATTTTATAGCTAAAAAAAAAAAAAAAAAAAAAAAAGAAGAAAAGAAAAAAAGAAAAAAAAAACACCACAGAACAGAACGGAAAGACAATTTTAGCATAACTTATACTCTAATGAGGTGAAAGGTTTACACAAGCGATGATAATGTAGAAAATATACTTTCTTTTAAATTTTGTTTTTTTTGTTTTAAATTTAAAAAAAAAACGATCTTTCTTTCTAAGCTATTTTTTGATAAGCCTTGATCTACGAACTAAAGCACTGATAACATATAAATGAAACTTAACTAAAAAAAGAAGAGAAGAACAAAAGAAAAGAAAGCGAAAGCCTTCTCTACTTAAGTTAAAATGTCTAAAACCTTTTCAAAAAATGTACCGGAATGTAGCGATATACAGACAGGTAGTTACATCTTAGAACATGGTAATGCGTAAGACTTTTGAAGCGACAAAAAAATTCTTCCGAGAGAGCTCAGCATTTGCTCCCGATCCAAACATAAAAAGATTTTCAACAAGCCAAACGCCCTTTCGTATATAAGGCGACAACTGTTACAAAAATCCTTTCTAGGGTAGTTGAGAAATTAGAAAAGCTTTGTGTTTTATTTAAAGAACGTAGGGATAGATGTCTCTAGGTGAATACATGCCGTAAAGGCTTAACCACGATGGCACACAGAGCGTGGAAGCGCACACTCAGCGCGCCGAGGGAAAACCTCGAGTTCCCGTGGAGATAGATATATGGGCGTATCTCTCCCCTGGTGAGGGCAAGGCACTATCGAAAACCTCTGTCTTTCTTTGGGTCAGACTAAGAGTTGCTGTGCAACTCCACACCGAGCCGAGGTTCTTCCCGCGATTTGGCCTAACCACAGCCACCACAAAACTATCGCAATGGGCCGTTACCAGCGAAGCTAGAAAAGTGCTTCGGCGGCTGCTGACACCCTGGGTACCGGAAATAAAGAAGATAAATAAGTATTGAAAGAAGAATCAGAAAGCCTTTGGTCAGAGTTAGTATCAGATCCCATACGAACTGAAGACTTGGTATGGGATAGAATCTGCAGAGAAAAGAACTCAAGGACAGCGAGAGAGGAAAATTTCACTTTGTTTTGGCTTGGTTTGCTAAGCTTGAAGTTCAAGCTTTAACTTAGTTTCTACATTTTTTTATCCGTCTCAAAAACATGCTAAACAAAACACAAACACACGTCACAAAAAGATGATAACTAAACTAAACTCCAAAAAACGTGGAAAACGTAAACTTTATTTTTTATTTATACTTCTAAGATCGTAGGTTAAAAAAGATTCATCATAATAGAAGACCATAATGCCACAGCCATGGATTGAACGCGCAAGGTAAAGCATAGTGTATGAAAGGAGACGAGTTCAGTAACATTCTCTGGAATATGAGGCTAATGTAAGGTTTCAAATTTGATTTTCTAATAAAATTAGGGCAAATCAATAAAAATCCTAGAGGTTTTGCTTGCTTATTTTATGTTTATAATCACCAAAAGAAATGAGTTGGTTACGTGTAACTCTTATTCCATTCTCATTGATAGCAACCACAAACAACAAATAGGATACCTTTGGGGTAGCATTCATAATATTTATGCATGAAAAATAACATAAGAAAAACTTATAGGAAAGAATTAAAACCTGAATGAATAAAGATAAGCACGCTTCCTTTAAAAGTGTTTTTTTCTTTATTTGACACCTGTTTGATGATCGGAAGAGTTTTTTTTTTTTTTTTTTAAGTAAATACTATAAATTATGATATTTATAGTAAGATTAAAAATTATATATGCAGAATTTCTGGTACAAAGGCGTAAGTCATCGAAGAAGTCTTTAGGGGAACTTGAAATTAATTGAATCCGTATGTATTAACATCTATTACCTTGGCTCCAAAATATATTTTTAGCTCACTATTCCACGCAATAAAGGTCGTTAGCTTTTACTTTTTACACTGAACGATTGGGTTTATTGTGCTTGTTGCGATCAGTAGAAAATTGAATTAATTAATTGGAAATTTCGCACCGTCAAAAAAAAAAAAAAATTATATTCAGCTAGAGTCGAAGGTTCTACCACGATTACTAAGTTGTGTATTATTTTTCTTGAAACAAGAAGCAAAGATCCATTCACTCAGTTTATCAATTTAGGTCGCGAAGAAAATATTTATCCGATTTGGCAGCACTTATATATACGATCTTGCATATATTATATCTGGAAAAACCTAGTACTATGTAGTTTTTGAATTTGTTACGAAAACTATATTAATCCACTTCCTAATGAGGCCGTCGTCCCTTTTTACAAGGACATTTACGCGTATCTTGGAAATTAAAATTGATCTTGAATTTTTCCATCCAAAAGGCCTATTTTGTGCAATTGTTAAAGGGAGGGGGGGGGGGGGGGGGATTATTTTAAAGGGAAGGATTTGATATCTCACATTTGAAAGATTTTCTTTTTTCATTTCTTTGCGCTTGTATAATAAAAGTCATTTCGAAATTTGAATGCGTAGGAAGAGTTAGTAATAGGTTGGGGAAAAATTCAAGGAGAAGCGCTTAAAGCTCTTAATTAAAAACACTACAACTCTGAAGCTGAAAGATAGACACGAGATTAAATTTATTTATTTTGTATTTTCTTTACGCATAGGCTGAGGTAAAAATCATGTTGCCAATCGCTCAGGAGATGTCCTCTATGAGTACGTACGTATAAAGATGATGAGGATCCGAAAGAAGTACGGAAATGTATAATGTTATTAACATACATAGGGCATATCTAAACCGACTCAGATAATCATGCTAACCAGGAATACGTTGTAAAGCAAACGTTTTGAAGAATCTCCGATCTCGGTGGGCGTGCCTGTGATAGGCATAAAATTTTCAATTGAAAAAATTTTTGGAAATTATACAATTCAAGCTAATTAACATTTATAGTTAGCATGACGTAATGATTTCTATATAATTAGCTTTTACTTATTGGTCTACAATTTGGACGTATATTATTTGACCAACTAAGGGTAAACGTGAAAAATATGAGCGTTTACTTCAATTTCAATCTACAGACATGGGAATAGTCATATGAGATATCGCAAGTATTCTGCAAAATAATTATTTTATTATGATCTGTTTGGTAGGATTATACGAGAAGGTTACTCCTTTTCTCTTCATCCTCCCTATGAAAGCAATCATTTCATATAAATCAATATTTAGTTTATATGTATAAATAATTTTAAGAAATTTTATTTAAATTCCTAGAGTGACGATATTTGACGGAACTAGGCATATAACAAATTGTAAGCAATGAGCAAAAAAACTTACATAGTTGCATTTTCCAAAAGCATTGCAGACTACCACGCACAAGAGTTTTTTTAAACCTTTCGGATAAGCGTCTAAAACTCATTTCTAAATTTTGTTAAAAAATTTAATTTCATTAAAATTTTGTGAAATCATTACGACGTCATTTGTGTGATCAAAGTAAAATCCTTACTTAAAAAACTGTTCGAAAATTTTCAATTATTTGCAACTAGATCGAAATGTATGTCATGATCCGCTTTTTTTTCGAAGAAAAATTTAACTTGTAGAACCTTGAACCTATGACTTCATCTTTAGTAGGCATCTTAATTGGAATCCGTTGTTGTATCTATATAGAAGTTATCTATATTTCGTAATAGGTATAAAATCTCTTCTCTTGTTGTTGGAAGATGAAAATGGAAGTTCTATTTCTTCGAAACGAACTTGTGCGCAAACATGATGGACCGATCGAATTCGTATCGCAAAGAGGCATTACGAAAGCCCTATTTCGGAATGCGAAATTTGAATATCTACCAGTTCGTGTCACAGCATGAAAATTGCAATCGTGCGATCACATCAATGGGTCGACCTAATTGCCTTTTTTTTGTTACTTTTGATACACATTTTTACAGAAATATCGTAAGGTAAAAATTAGCCATGATTCATGATCAATCTGATGATTTTCATTTTGCGTCTTAACTATGCCCCATCTTTAGATATTTCGGTCGCGTTTGTTAGCGGAATAACGTCTTTATCAAAACAGATTTTTGAGATGATATATGGTCTCTCTTAGAATTTCTAGATCGGTTGTGTTCAAGAACAGATGGATGAACGAACTTGAGATATTTTTTGTGCTAGATCGAATTAAAAAATACAAGACAGTTGTTTAGAATATGAATAAGGCTAAGGTCTAATATATATATCTATAGCGAGTTAGTCATAATTGCAAAGCGAAAAGGACAAAATGATCCCATCTATCGATGGTAAGAATAAATTCTTCAACATACGACATATTTTATGCTATCGTATAAATTTACATATGTATATGTGGATTAAGGATGAGCTGACTTATTTATAAGAAAATATATATATTTATCATCATTTTATAAATTTATAAACTTACCTCAGTTTTAAAGCTAAGCTTGAGGTCCTTTGAGATGCATTTCTTTTCGCTTTTTTTTTTTTTTTTTTGTTTAAATTTCATTTCAATAGTTTTTCGTCCTAAATGAATTTGAAAAATCTTTAGTTTAGTTAAGGTAATGAAAATTTTGTAAAAAGTTTAAATCGTCGCACCATCATCATAATAACCGTTTTCATCGCACTTTACGAAAAACAGAGAGTTTGAAATATAAACGTTTGTAGGCGAGACTAAAGCACTCAAGTAGTTGACACTTTTGTGACAAACTTTTGACAGAGTTAACACAATTTTAGTATAGTTAGTTAGATTGTAAGGTAGCTAGCTATGTAGGTAGGCAGGCTGGCAAGCAATCATTCAAATGTCCGGTTGTGGTTGGCAAACAGTATGCATGCACGAACATAAATAATTTGTGAGAAACTTTGCGTGTGCGTGAGTTTAATTTTTTTTTTGTACATTTTTCTTTTCTTTTTTTTGCTTTTTCTCTAATAAAATTTCATTTCAATACCAGTGGCAGTTATAATGGTAAGTATAAGTTATGTGCATTAAAACTGGCCTCGTCATTATTAAATGAATTTGCTAACTGTTCATAAATCATGGTTTGTTAGTAATGTCCGACATATAAGGACATCGGTAACAATGTTTGGTAGATCTCTTGAATTTGTATTGCATTGTGTAAGATTTTCTGTTTTTTAATTTCAATTTTTTATTTATTTATTTATATATTAATTTTATTTATTTATTTTCTTTTTTTTTCATACTATTTTAGCATTTTTTGCTGAATGTTTCCGCGTCTGGTAGCAGTTACGTGGTTTAAGCAATAAACCGCGACGTTCAACGACCGTTAGACATATGATTGAGTTGTACGGCGAACATCATGCGAATAAGCTATAAAATATCAAGTTAGTAAGAACACGTAGAGTTTACCACACGAGAAACGATTATAATAACGTGAAAAAGTTTTAATGTTCTTGGTGAAACCAAAAAAAAAAATACAAAACAAAATACAAAAAAAA